AATGCGATAAAAATAAAAACAAAAGAACACATAAATTTATAATGGTTCGGTCCAACAAGACCTACATCCACTACCTGAAGACTTCCTCTTCAAGTATTGCACTATACCAAAGTAACTTTCCTTTTGCTCTCACAGCAAGACGGAAAAGCCTTTACAATTAACCTCTCTTCGACCAATCCCCGATGCGGCAGAGTACCGTTGTCCTTTCACACCCTCCAAGTGTCGGCAGAGAACCGTCGTCCTTTCACACATTCTTGGTGTTGGCAGAGAACCATCGTCCTTTCACACCCTTCTGGTGTCGGCAGAATACCAGATCTTCTCCAAAGATCTTCTCTCGAGCGTCTTCAAAGAAGGAAGAGATTTGACAAACTTACAAAGATATTCTGACCTTTGGGCAATCTTGTGAACCTTTCATAAATTCTACTTGCAAGATCTTTCTATCCACACTCTCAAACAATCTCACTCTTGCTCTCAAAGAAAATACGAAGAAAGATTCGTGACAATATGCTTTTTACGACTTTATATATGAAAGACACGAAAAACAGTCCAGAAAATTGAAAATTTCAATTTTGACCATCCATGATCGTACATTACGATCACACATCGTATGCACGATCAGTTCAAAATTTTCTCGTACGATCCTGTACGAACCGATTTTGTACTTTGATTGGCTTGTGTACGAATTGACATCGTACAGTACGATTAGTTCAAAATTGAACAGATTCGTCCGGTACGATTCTCTACGAACTTATTTAGTACACTGGAAGTCGTCTGTACAAACCCAATATCGTATGGTACGATTTGTTTTAACCAAATCATGCTTCATTTTGTATGAAACTGGACGAGTCCATTTCGTACTATGGAAGTCATATGTACAAACCTAAGATCGTACAATACGATCGGTTCAAAAAATTCACTTGCTCGTATGGACGAAATGATACGCTCCCATTTCGTACTTTGGACATCGTCTGTACAAACCTAAGATCGTACAATTCAAATAGTTTAGAAAAATTTTGAGTTCATTCGGGACGAACTGGTATGTAGCCATTTCGTACTTTGGACGTCATTTGTACGAAGGTAACTTCGTACATTATGAACAATACTTAGAAAAATTTTTTAGGCATGATTTGATTAACTGCTTTCTGGAGGAATGCTCAAGTCAAATATTCTTGTATGATCCGAACTCGTCCAGTACGATTAGTTAAAAAAAAAACAAATTCTTACACTCGTCCAGTGTGTGTGTGCAGGGTTATCTAATTACAATTACACTCTCTCAGACTCAAGAAAAATATAAAAGTATAGACTTTAAATACAAAAAACTCTAGTCTAATCTATCTTGAAGTCTTCAGCAGTCTGGAGTATAATTTCTTTAAAACGTTAGTACATATAAACAACAAAAATAATATTTTCAATATATGTTAGGATAAACAGTAATCAATACAATAAAATTTTGGAATCATCAAAAACACACATGATATAAAAATATAGTTATGAAAACTAAGTTGCAATAGTAGGCATTCCCTTCTCCTTGAAAATAGTTCATGGTTTACATGATAATTGTGTTCATTGATGCTTTTGTTCTGATGTTGATTGGAAGAATGTTGTAGTATTCGATGCATATCTATTGCTTCCATGTATATTATAGGTTCTCTGTCGTTTTCGAAGGTGATATGTTTCATATATAATGAACCTGAGAATGTTCCTTGTTGATATTTACATTCTAAGCATCATGAAGACTTTTTTTATTTATGGGCTACTTCATGTTATCGATCGTCGTCACTTGCAAGAGTCTGGTGTATTTGCTTACACCTAAGTAACATCAGCTGTGTACGAGCTTCTATGTCTTATTCATGAATAAACTGTGATATTCATTATAGTCACACTTTTTTTCATTAGTATTTGCGAAGGAGGCTGCATACTCATTATAAGTTTCCCCTTTATAAAAGTGCTTTGTTATATTTACACAAACCTTGTGTTCTTGTTCATCATCATATGAAGGCAATTATATTTTCTTATGCGAGCATCATTCTTTGCATATATCAAGTTCTTCATTTGCTTATTGATATCCATTTGAGTGAATCAAACTATTATTTAGATTTTATATTTTTAAGTTCATTATGCATTTTAGAGTTTGAAGGCCCAGTTTCATGCGGTCAATTAGGTTCAAATCAGATCCTAAGTTTAGTGTAAATTTCTGCAACCTCCCTGCGTCTCCCCTATTTAGGGAAAACTACAGGAGTTATAGCCTACCCTCCATGTCAAGAAAGACGTACACGGTCAGTGTTGGGGGACACCGCGTCCGTAGTCTTCAATCCCACCACGCCAAGAAAGGCGTGCATGGGTCTTTGAAAGTACCTATTTGAAAACACAGTTGTTTCCATGACGGCACTGAGGCGCATACAAGTACTTATATTTTTGTCCCGTCATGCTAACAAAAGTGCGCATAAGGCTCGTTTGCCTTGCCATAAGCACCGCACCGAGTTCCCTCCCACCACGCTAAAAAAAGTGAGCATAGAGGGTTCCTCGGCTCGCTGCGAACGCTGAAAACAGGACTTCAGAAGATTAACCACCTCGTCGCGAATACCGCAACGAATTTCCTCCCATCATGCTAAGAAAAGAGCGCATGGGTGGTTGTTCATCGCACTGTAAGCATCGAGAATGGATTTTCGGGGTTTAGAGTGTTAAACCTTTGATGACGTTTGCGGTTGAGGTGGTTGAATGTAGGTGTGCGAGTTGAGGTGGTTGCTTGTGGTTGGTTGGATGGATGGGAGGCATAAAGGAGTTGGCTTCATCTAGAGCTTGCAGTTCGGTCAGGAAAGGACCAATGATCGTAAGATTGGGTCGGCTATGGGGTTGCTGGTGCTGGAGCAAGTTCGACAGGGGAAGAGGACTTCGACTGCTTGAGGAGGCTTAGGCTAGGTCTTGTGGTTTGTGGTTGGAGACGAGGGAGGAGACCGAGATCTGGAGCTCGGAGTTGGATGAGGTCATAGAACTTGCAAATTGAGATAGGAGGAGAAGTAGAAGACGAGAGCTTCGTTTAGTGTCGTATTTAATGACTCTAATGGAAGTGTGATCGAGGCGAACGTGAAACGACTGCAGCGGCGCTGAATGCAAAAGGATGGGCGACACTGTAGCAGGCGGCGTGGGCAGGTACTGTAGCAGGATAATCATTTTAAGTGTATTTTTAAAATTTTTGTCTTTTTTCCTTTGGTTGTAGTGTGGAGGTCAACAAAGAAACTATGGACTAACCCCATAAGCATATATTAATGTAGATTATGTAGGATCACCATTAGATATACGATCTCCTCAAGATACTGCACATTCCTTGGAAGAAATCTTGTTACATGGAGGAGCAAGAAACAGTGTGGTGGCAAGGTCTAGTGCAGAAGTTCAAAGTTATGGTCGTGGGAATATATGACTATTATTGATCAAGATTATTCTAAAAGACCTAAGGATCAGGTAGGAAGGACCCATGAAGTTACATTATGACAACAAATAAGCAATCAACATAGCTCACATTCCAATTCAACATTACAGGATCATGCATATAGAAGTGGACAAAGATTTCATAAACAAAAAATTAGATAGTGGTCGTATATTTGTCTACCAAGTCTCATTAAAAGGTCAGCTTGCAGACATTCTGACCATGGGACTCGATAACGCTATCTTTCTTGGACAGAGTACCAAGCTGGGAGTGAAAGGTTTGTATTCTCCAGCTTGAGGGGCAGTCTTAAATCTCAATCGTCCCTTGACATTGGATACCACGACCAGGATGAAAATTCGTGGGAGGCTCACTTGGGCTATGTCGATCTTTGTTAAATCCTAGCTATCTCTTGACACTTGATCCCACGACCAGGATGAGAATCCTTGGGAGGCTCACCTGGATCACGTCAATCTCCTTCCATATTTGGGTGACTGATTTAGGAAGGATTATATTAGGGCAATTATGAATGATTATATAATTATTTATTTCTTTATTAAGATATATTGTATAGATCTTTAAATAGGGATAATTTTGTGTAAGAAAATTAAGCATTCTCTCCCTCCAATTCTCTGAATTTAATATTATCCAAGTACAAATAAGATATTTAAGGTTGTATTAAACATAGAGTAATCTAAATTATGTCTTACAAAACAATTATGGAAAGAGTAATGGATCATTTATTTCAGAAGAGCATGTTAGTTTTGAAATCAATTTGTGTTAATATATTTAATGTAAATTAGATTAAATTAAAAAAAAGCTCTTCATATGATTTTTATTTATCTTCAGATGGAACATGATCAATTACCATGAAAATTGATTTAATATTCATTTAGGAACAAATGTGTGTCGAAGGTATGTTGAAGTTTTTAAAAATATTTAATGGAATACATATTAATATTAGTAGTGGTTATGAAATGATCATAATGTTTTTAATAACAATAGAATTGGATCAATTATTTAAATTGAGCAATATAAATGCCATTGATAGCTATGTTTATTATAGAGAAAATGAAAATTTTATGATGAATGTGTGGCCAAACATAGAATATAAATTAGGTAATGATATAGAGAAAAATGGCTGGAGTGACACCTATTGAGGATAGCATAATTAACAAAAGATCCACTGGATTTGTTAATGTGCACAATTAATGGTAGAAAGTGTACCTATCGGATGTATAGATCAAATTAATATTGGAGGATTGAGATAGAGTGGTAGACATGTAAGATTACATGGATCATTGATTTTTGAAACAACGTAAATAAATTTAGTTTTCTCAAGCTACACAAAATACGAATGAATAAAATTGGGAATTCATAATGCTGACCTGAAATTCTTGGAATAAGTCTAATGGTTATGGTGATGCATTTTTTTTCTACAGAAATCTTTATTTTTTTTTTTTTGGGAGCGTGTAATTGAATCCTGAGAAATGATGGCAAAAGCTCATAATTGGAGCTAGACGTTTTTTTTTCCCTTATTGTATCCCTTACGAAGCCCTTGTACATTGATCAATTTTAGGAGCACGTGAACTTGCAAGAGATGCTCGCAAATCAGAACCAGATGATCTAGTTAATTCAGCGGTTGGGGGATTTGCTAGTGGAGCTCTGCTTGGCCGGCTTCAAGGTATGGCTGCTACCCAAACCACTACCTTTTGTGTTTGAGGGAGGGTGGTTTGTTAAAAATTCATTGTAGTCAATTTAAACAAGGATCATACAGCTCAAGAAAGCTATAGTTTCTGTTTGCTTTTCAGTCCTTACATTTCCATATTCTAGGCTAGTGCCTGAAACCTCATACAACTCAAGTACATTTTTTATACTGTTTTTCTCCTACCTATAATACACGTAATCTCTAATAAGTGTCATTGTCATAAAGTTGACAACCATACCTTATTTTTATATAAATCATGAAGTAGTAATAATTAGTTTTCTTTTCTTATATGAGTAACTGTGCAGGTGGCCAGTTTGGAGCTATCCGTTACTCTATCATTATTGCAGTTGCTGGAACAGCTTTCGACTTTTCTTTACTGAAGCTAAGCCCTGTCCTGCAGCACTTCATTCGAAAAGTACCTGAAGAGAGATCCCAGAAAAATGTTGGCCGGTCAAGCTGGTGGAGAATACCTGAGTGGTCTCCAATTCAGATATTGGATGAAGAAGCTCTGGCTGCAAAGCGGGCTCGTGAGGAAAAAAATTATGCTCATAGAATGCTAGACAAACCAAAAGAAGAATCTTGAATGCTTGAAGGGTCTTGGGGACCTTTTTTACTTGATTATCTCTTACATTGCGGCTCTGGTTGAGTATCTTTGGACTTTTCTTTCAGCCTACTATTTGCTGGTGGCGTAAGATTGGGTTGATTACTACCAATTAAGTTTTCGTGATTTGTGGTGAAAAGACTGAAGAGTTATTATATCATATGGAGAGGAAGATAAATTCTACTCAAAGATTCATCAAATTCCATCAAGAATTGGGAGATCACATATGCGGGATAAACTGTTAAAATTTGAATATATAAGTCTGTAATTTGACAATGAGCCTTCTACTTGTGTTGTGCATTTGTAGTGGAACATAAGTTGTAATATATGTTGGTACCAATAATTTTTGGGCATATAAAAAAAATATTATGATGTAAGAAACGTCATATTTTTTGGAGACCCGGATGTCTGTTTGTTATTGCACTGTGTTTATGTTTAATATTTGTTTCAAAGTTTTATAAACCATCAGGAAATGTTTTTTATATTATTGTAAGCTGAAAGGGCTAGAAAAGTGAGTGAGCTCGTTATATTTTTCTTTGTATTCTTCTCATTCACGCTTCATTGATTGAGAATCTTTTCAGACTAATTATATCATATTTGGTGAAGTGTAATATTCGTATTATCATACCTCACTGATTGTACTACTTTTTTTTTTAGGGATGCATATAGCATTAATAAAAGAAAAAAACAATTACAAGCTAGAAAGCAAAAGCAAAACAAGCCTTTTGAATCTATCATAATTGATATGTGATCTACTAATTCTCATTTTAAACCCATTGGGATGATGGGGACATCAAATATTTAAACAATCTAAAAGGTTGGTTAGTGCCCCAGAGTTCCCAAAAGATAGAAAATGTGAACTAGTAAGAATCCCATATATCATTACTTTAAATCCAAAGAGGCAAAAAGAACCAACACGAGAAACAAAATAACTAAAAACAACTGCAAGAGCAGTACACATAACAACAACTAAACTCAGAAGAACTCCTAACAAGCCTCCAATAACCACCAACGAATCCACAGAAGTGCCATCTAGCTTTAGATTAGAAAAACAATCATGAGTCTCCAAGTCTTTAGTACACACAAACCCTGCATCCTTCAGGAGAACTGCCAACAAGTCGTGAATTTATGAAACAAACCAATAACCTTCGAAGCCTTTGAAAGACTAGCTCCCATGGAAGAACCAATCACAGCCATCCGAAGCACACCATAAACCGTGACAACCTTGCCATGACCACTTGAAAGAAAACACCTTCTCCAACCATAAGCATATACAACGTAGAAGTCAACTTCATCCCATCACTAGAACAAGGAAGACACCAAAAATCTTCCAAGAAAAGACCATACAAATGCAGTCGAAAAACATAACACTTCCTGCTCACAAAAATAGTACCAGCAACCTCCAAGGAAGTACCATCCACAAGAAATCCCATAGAAGGGGTAAGCTCCCTTTCCAAGCCATCCGAAATCCCTCTAGGAAGACAATTACTCTCTTCCTTATCCAATCCAGTAGAAAGACTCTGTGAGGCTGCATTAACGATCATCTCTAGCGGATACCCTTGAACCATCATCATGACAACAACAGGTTCAACAGACATACTATTAATCACATTCTCAACAACCTTGAAACGAATTCCCTCAGAAGAACCAATAATTGCTGAAGGATTGACAAGCAAACCACCAATTCTTCTACCAAAAACTAAAACTCTATTAAAACTTCCAACACGATCCATCCAAGAATCTTCACATTGGCATGCCAAGAATTCAATGTAAATGATCCACTTCACTACAACAAAACCCCTATAACTACCACCAAATAAGAAGTAGTCTAAGATCAACTTTGGACGCAAATTCAGAAAAATCGAATCACCAAAACCTCTGCCACACAAATCAGGCATACCGCGCCAATGGAAAAACACCATCAAAACGGTGGTCCGCTCAACTCCGCAAGAAAGGATTCCAAAAAAACCATGTTCGCTCGAAATCCAGAACAATCGGAAACCACACAAGAAGGGATAAGAAATTACCCCAGATGAAAAATCAAACCAAGAACAACCGATAGAAACAGCAAGCCTACAGAGAACCTTCACCAAGATAATCTCCGTCCAAAACAACCTCAGAAATTTCGCAAAAGCAAATTCACATTCATCCCAACACAAATCAGATCCGAACAGAATTGAAAAACCATTCCAAGAAAATCTAACAGCCATTACAAGCCGACATAGAACCTTTGAACGCTAAAGGTCAACCAAATACTCATTCAAACAATTTGGTCTACTAAAAACACCTACATCCAGAATCAAATCAACTCTGGAATAAGAAAAAGAGATCCACCTAGGCCCTCCGTCGGCCACACCGGACCGACGGAGAACTTCCGACCTCCAATGCTCCAGCAAAATCACCGCTTCGTTTCTCTGCTTCTCGCTAAACACCTTGTTAATATTATGCCACCTCTATTGATTTTACTACTTATCCTCTTGTTGTGGACTAGAATATATGCGGAGATAGAGTTAAAATGTTTTCGTCTTAGCGTTGCACGGATATCCAACACATAAACATGAGAGAAATAAAAAATACCAGGATTTTTACATGGAAAACCCTGGAAAGGGAAAAACCACGGGATAATGCCCAGTTGAAATAATTTCACTAGTGTTTGCTTGAGATACAAGAGGTTGACTCATCCTTATAATTTAGGAGGATCAGATTATAATGATTCACTTCTGGGTTGAAGTCTAGTTACAAACAAGTTGTGTATTCGAGCTGAATTCAGAGTTAGAATTCCGGCGTCACTTGAAAATTGGGCAAAGTTTCGGCGTTACAGGAAAGTTGAGTGGAATTTTGGCATCACTTGGATGTCAGGCTGAATTTCAGCATCACTTGGGCAGAATTCCGGAGTCACTTGGGCATCGGGCAGAATTCCAGCATCACTTGGGCGTCAGCAGAATTCTGGCAGTGGTCGAGGAGGAGTTTTTTCCCTCCTATCCTTCTCTTCTTCTTCTTTCTTGGGTCCCCTCTCAAAATAAATGAGGGGATATTTATAGTTTTTTAAGAATGGCATGACCCATAAATAGGAGGAGGATCAAGGGCAAAAGGTGCAGTGGTTTGGATGGATGGCCAATATTGAATCCTTTGATCGTGGACCATTTATCAGACATTTGAAGGCTTAAGGATATCAGAATTATGTAATCTTGAGCTCGTTGGATTCGTTTTGTCGAGCCACTCGATTCGACTATAAGCATGTCATGTTTGGAAATCGTTTGGTAATCCAAATTGTGGTTTAAACCTGCCAACAATGCTTTGGGTCTTTGATTCAGACTCATTGTGGCTCATATCGAGTTGAATTTGGTTTCGTTGGGTTCATATTTCTGAGACGCTATGTTTGAATATAAGTTTACTAAAATCAGAGTTCAGGTGATCCCGAATTTAATTTTTTAAGTTTCCAGCTTGATTTTGCCTCGAGATTCTACCCTGATCATGATAATTTTTTGATGATATATCAGTTGTCCCCCTATTTTTGGACCTCAAAGCTCCAAGAGTCTGAAAATACTTGTTATGATATTTTAAATTAGCCAAATCACAAAAAATTTTGTTTCAAAAAACATAAATTTGCTCAAATTCAATCAAAGAGGTCCTATTGAGCTCCGAAAGTGTCAAAATTGAGCCCGGAACCTTAAAAAATGTATTAGGGGACCCTAAAATGTCCAATTTGGACCGTCCTGGCCAAAAATTGGACACGGATAAGCTTAGGCGACCGAACCAGCCGATTGGCCGCCGCCTGCTGCACGCGAACAGGCATCCCCTAAAGGGACAAACGGTTAGGGGGCTGGCGGTTATTTTTTTAATATTTTTTTATATTGTGGGGCCCACATATTTTTAATGAGGGGGCGGCTGTGGCCACTGCGCCCTTCTAATAATTTTTTTGTTTGTTTAAAAAAATAAAAAAGTGGACATTTTTTATCTCAAAAAATTTCAAAAATTCCTCAAAAATTTAGTAAAATTTGAAAAGCTTCTAGAAGTCTCTTCCCTCTTATTTTCAAAAATTTTCCAAGTCTTTTTCAAATAATTCCCCCCATTTTCATGCTATAAATACACCCCTTGGGTAAAGAAAAATTTGCACATTCTCCTCTTCTCCCTTTGACTTTCTTACAATCGAGGCATTCCGTTGCTTTTTAATAGGTGACTTTCTCTACGTAACTCAGCACCTCTCCTCTTGTACAAAAGTTGAAATTTTCTCATCTTTTTCCTTCTTTCTCCTCTATTTTTCTTCTTGCTCAAGGGGCTTTCCACTAGCTTTCATAGGTGAATTTCCCTACTTAAATTTATCGCTCCAGTTTAGTATAGAAGTTGAAATTGGTGATCACAAATTCACAAGAAATCCCGGCACCAGCCAAAGAAGATTGCCCTATTGCCCGATATAAGGGTTTAAAGAAGACTCACAAGGAGACGAAGACCGATGATGTTATCTCCACCATCACTAACAATTCTTTCATTGCTTTTAGGAAAAAAAATCAATTTGCTAATGATCTGGTAATGAAGGTGCCGGCAAAATATGATCGTGCCATTTCCTCCTCTGGGATATGTGACAGTTATGAATTTAGTTTGCGAGCAGGGCTACGATTTCTACCATCTCTTGAGTTGATTGATATTTTGACGATCTGTGGAGTGAGTTTATCTCAACTTTTTTATAGGGCCATGTCGATCATAATGGGACTGATCGTACTTTTTAGAGATCATGGAGTCATACTATCTTCAAAATGTCTTTCTTGGATGGGGCATCTTATTAGTGATATACAGGGTCGTATCTCTTTCAGATCCAAGTGACTGGATATTCATACTCTAGATTCGTTAAAATGTTGGATTAGCGACTTCTTTTTTGTGCAAAATGACTGGTATCTCCAAGAAAAATGAGAAAAGTTGAAGGAGTTACCCGTTCCTCTACATATTGGAGTAGAAGATTTATTGAATATACTCAAACTTCCTGATATTGACACCCTACATTATGAGGTGCATTATTTGAGCAGATATATAGATGAAGAATACTTGTTCAAGATGGAACTATCTGCTCAAGCAGGAAGATCACATGCACAAATGCTAAAGAGGTCTGTGAAAATTCAAAAGGTAGTTCCCCAACCTTCAAAAAGTTTCTTCTAAATGACCAGAAAGTGAGAAAAAAGAAGAAGGCGGAGGAAATTTTGGCAGTCACTAGCAAAGGTCTCCGTATCTCTCCATCCAAGTCTAACATTCCAAAAGATGTTTTGAAACAGCAGTGCGTTGGCTATTGACGGGCTGAGGAGTTAGTGAGTTCACCTTTTCTTCTTTCCTTTTTGTATATTTCAAAGCATATGGCTCTTACAAAGTTTTATTTTTATTGCTTCTGTTGGAGTAACATATGGATTTCAAGCTTTAAATGACCAAGACCTTGAATGACTGGAATAATGAATTTGTAAAGGTCAAATATCTTTAGG